CGTGCTGCTGGCCCGCCCCTGCTTCGTCTCAGACTTCCCGCGAATCTCTGATTCGTGGGAAGCAGGGGAGGGGGCGGGGCGTGCAGGGGAGGGGAGGAGGGGGAACTGAGCTGGGGGCGGGGCGGACAGCTGCAGCGCGGGGCCCTCTTGGCGCGGGGCCCAATTCAGCCGAATCGGCTGAATCGGCCTAAAGCCGGCCCTGTGCATGTGTTAGAGCCACTGCAGCTGCATGGATGTCCGAGCCCCGCACTGGGAGGGCAGCGCTGCATACAAGTGCCCAGAATTGTAGCCTCCCTGCCCAGAACAGGGAAGGAGGTATGGCGGGAGGAGAGCAGGCAGCAGGGCAGGAGGTCTCTGGGGAGATGTGGGGGGCTTGACACAGTTTTTGATACAAATTTTGTATCCACGCAGGGCTCTACTCACAGTTAATAACAGCCTTAGATCAGGACCAGCAGTCCCTTGAATAGGTTAGTCTTCCATTTATACAGCTTGGGCCTTTGATCTTGAGACTCTGGGAACAGGTAATCTGCAGACAAGTGTCCTCTCAAGATGTAGCTTCAAAAGGCTGGGATTTTCCTGGCAAAGCCCTGTCACTTCCAAGAATTCAGATCCATTTCTATTGCTTATATTATGCCGATGGTGGGAACTCTAACTTAAAACACAAATCTTGGATTTATTGCTCACTTCCCATGTTTTGTACTGGTTTGGAACAAAATTTAAAATAGTGAAATTAGGTCCAAAGTTGTTTTTGTTAATTGACTTGTCAGTGCTTTTGGGAGGGGAGGGAGTGAATGACGCAATTCCCTAACCTTCCTATTGTTTTCTTGATGCAACTTTAAGATGATATTGGGCTGATTTTAACCCCTAGTCCAGGAGCAGGACTATTGTTCCTATATCCCAATCATCCACCCTTTGTCTCACTTGTTTATTTAAATTCTAAGTTCTTCAGGCCAAGAACTGTCTATTATTCTGCTTGTACCGCACCTAGCACACTGGGGCACCATTTTTCATTGCTCCCTAGGCACTACCATAAAACAAAGAATAATTCATAATGAAGTGTAATTGAGTACTCAAGGTGCAGGGCAGTGGTGAATTAGGCCCTTGATCTCCATGTTGTAAGCCTCAGATCATCTTGTGCACTGACATCCTTCCCTACTGTATGATTAAAACTGGAGTGGTAGTTCAGTTTTGTTGCTCATTAGGAGTTGACACTCAAAACATGAAACTGAGACAAAGCAATTAATTACAATCAACTAATTTTAACTATAAAAATCAGAGGTTCTTTCTATTTCTATATATTGCTTTGCCCTTTTGCACAAAAGGGATAGAGTTTTGTAACTACAGTATGTGACTTCTGACCACCTGATTTGGTAGTTTCATATCTCCATTGTTTCTGCTCTTCTTGAGAAGAATCAGAAAGAAGTTGAGCAGCAGGCTCTGTAAAGGAGGAGGATAGAAAATAAGGGGAAAACCTTGGGTGAACTGTAAGTTAGTCAAAAATTGTATCATTAACACTTTATGTGGCTATTGCAGCATTTAGATTTATGATAGTAACTAAACTTCTTCAAAATACTGTGCTTTAATATGTTACTGGCCATTTTAATATTTGCTATGGAGTACAAAGCAAATCCAGCTCAGAAAGAAAAGACCCACATCTTTGATTTAACATGCATATTATCTTTATTTTTCAAAATCTCTAGCTAAGAAATTAAGATTTTAAAAATGATACAACCTGTTTACAAAAATTAGGCCAAATCCTTCTCTGGTGTGATTTTGTATTGAAGCCAGTACAGATACACCAGAGATGAATTTGGCCCATGAGTTTAAATTGTTTTCCCTTGTCTTAGTACTCCTTTTTTCATAGGTATTTCTGGAAATGTTAGCTGTACGTGACTGTTTAGAAATTGTATTCATTGTGGATGCAAGGCTTTAAAAACACACCTTCCAAATTATAGGGTAAATACATTGTGAACAAGTCTACCTTCTGCATTGTTCTAAACTGAAAATTACAGGTGTGCCATAATAAATCCATGCTATTTTGTTTTAATCTATTATAGTTATAAGGTGTGTGATGTGCATAGATATAAATGAAAGCTACTGAAATCCAGTCACTCTAATGTGTTTCTGAATTAGGAGAGGAATTTTGCAAAGTGCAAGAAAGCAGAAGAAAGGAAGAAGCATAGGCAGCAGTAAAAGACAGGCAGGCTGAGCAGTGTGATTCTTTGAAAGTACTTCTCTTGTCTATTATGGTACTGCATAATAATTAATACCTAGGTCTTACACAGAGTTTTTTATCCATTAATCCTTAAGGTGCTTTGCCAAGGAGGGTGAGTATTGGGAAGAAACTAACACGTGAATTACAAAATGTATCAGCTGAATTATTTCAGTAACTATTAACTGAATAAAATGAAAATGTTATCCTCATCTCTTGAGACATTTCACCCTAGACTTGGAAAAGCTCTGGAGCACATAGTGTAGGGATTAATGCTGAACGGTTAAGGGCAGAGAAAAATTGACTGAACTCAGGGCCAGTTTGCAGTCAGTATGCAAGGAAGTAACAGAGGGTCCTGTGGCACCTTTAAGATTAACAGAAGTATAGGGAGCATAAGTTTTCGTGGGTAAGAACCTCACTTCTTCAGATGCAAGGAAGAGAATAGATGTCGGTGAGATAGCATCGGTGTTGCAGATATTTAAATGACTAACTCTATTGGGATTAAATATACTTTATACTGCTGTATTAGGGTGTTCCTGATTAAGTTCCTTGTCCTGAGGGCCAATGTCCGGTTGTTGAAGCCCCACATTTAGGTCTGATAATAAATAAAACCTAAATATTGATAATTAAATAAATAATTCCCCCCCCCCCCCCCCCAAAAAAAAAAAGCGAGGGAGCAAAAAAAAAAAAAAAAATCCCCCCCCCCCCCCCCCAAAAAAAAAGAGCTAGGGCAGAACTG